AGGAAGGAAGGAAGGAAGGAAGGAAGGAAGGAAGGAAGGAAGGAAGGAAGGAAGGAAAAGGGAGAGAAAAACAATCATCTTGTGGGTCACCTGCTGAAGTTCCTATGTGTGGAGCAGGTTGGCTGGACTCCAAGGAGCAACTCCCCGGTTGCCCTGGAGAGGAGTTCAGATGTAGCTCCAGGAGGCTGGTTTATTTGTGTCTGAGCTCTCGTGAGCATTACTTCTTGGGTTGGGGCCAGTTTCTTTGTGGGTTCCCTGCTAGGAAGGCCTTCTTGCGTCTGGATTTCCTACAAGGAATATACTGTACACATGGGTCTGCCAGATCCCAGATCTTCGGTCCCCAGGGCAGACACTGTTTTTCCTTGGTAAGGGATCCAAACCCTCCTTTTCCTCAGTTTACTCCTGGGTGAAATGGGTATGAAAGTTATGAAAGAGCTCGCAGAACATTCAACCACTTAATTGAAGACAGATTTTAATTAAGTCTTCTAAAGAAACACCCTGTCCTAGGACAGGGTAGTTATTAAAAACCAGAGAAGACAACGCCCAGGGAAGGAATATGAGCTTGTAATGGATGTCTTAGCTCCATGCAGACGCAGGGTTCCAGTTGTTAAGTAATGGATTGATGAGGGGACATTCTCCCCCTAGGCCTGTTACTATTCTAGTAACCCTGACGAGCCACCGAAGTTTAATGAAAATGTGCAAACTGGCGTGCTCAGAACCATCCCGGGCTGACAGTCTCTTCCCACTTTGGCCGTAAGGTCCTGGTCTATATTTATCAGACCTTCAGAGTGTTAGTCCGGTGGTGTCGGTGTGCTGAGGCATGGTCTGTTCCTTCATTCTTCCCCCGAAGTTTGTGCGAGCACCCAGGCTGTGCTTGGGGGTGCTCAGTGCCAGTGTGCCAGGCAAGGTCTGGGTCCACAGGCTCCCCGCACTCTTCAGTGCTAGACGGTGTTTCCCAGTGTCGTTAGACAGGCTTGAGAATTCAGTCATTTAAAATAATAAAGTGTTTCTCCTTCTGCTACTGGACAGTTCCACGTGCGTGACTTCCAAGAACAAACCAGGGCCAAGTCGACTCCGTGTACACGAGACATTTTCTTTATGTTTACAAACAGCCTATCAGTTGTGCCACTGAGAAGCCTTGCTATAGGGGGAGCTTCTTGTCGGGAATTTTGAGGGCACTGGGGCTGAGTGACAGTAGACAAATGAATCCAACAGTCGTGTTTTATAAAACCACCGCCGCAGATTCGTATCGACTAATGGGGAAAACTGTTCAGCTTCCTCCCTTCTGCCCACTGGCACCCAACGGTGTACGCCCAGGCCTCCTGGCTTCCACAGACAAGCCCTCGGCTGTGCCCTGGGTTTGCCTGGCCGGCCTCTTTCAGACTAGCCCTTGTCCTGTCTTCTCACTATAGCTAATGTGAACCCACTCATCTGGGGAGCAGAGAATTCCGTGCCATTCCCCAGAGTGACTCCGGAGAGCATTGCTGTCCCTGCTCAGGGAGTATAACTAGCTCTCTGCCTCAGTTTCCCTAGCCATGAGAAGCCAGTGTTCCTCCCTCTCATCAACAGAAGCTATTGTGTTGCATAAGGTCTGTGGAGCCGCGTCCGTAGATGGGCTGGCACTGGGAAGGTGCTCGGGGCACTGTAGCTACTGGAATTACCAATGGGTTCTGCTGCCTATGACCTATGAGGTCCCAACTCAGATGGAAGCTATCTTAAGGGAGAGTCCTCTCCCCGACCCATCCTTGTGAGGTTCTCAACAGTAGGGACTCCGGGGCTCAGCCACACACACTCCTGTGGGCACCCCAAGCCTGGGACATCCTGAGTCCTCCCGAATAAAACTCCCACTCCTGGTTGTGCTGGCTCCAGCCCGAAGAGAGCCAGGAGAACGCCGCTGTAACAGGAGAGGCAGCAGCTGACAGGCAGGCAGGCCTGGTCCTTGGGAAATTTGTTCTAATCTTAGAAGGCAGTCTTCACCTTCTGCTGTGGCCTGCCGGACAAATGTCACAGGCCTCAGATACACATACACTGTCACCACTGTGGTTCCTAGAGAAGGGTTTCTGTGGCTCTCTCTGGGTGGCTGCCAGAAAACCTGAGGCTTACAGCAGGAGGGACTCTCCAGAAGGTCAAAGTGTATCAGTAGGGTGAGCACAGCACAGAGCTAGGTGGTTCTGAACAGAGCTTGGAAAGAGACAGATTGTGTGTTCACTTGTTGATGAAAGGTGAATGAATTGTCGAGAAGTCAGGTGCATCTGACCTTCCGACCTTTCGACTCTGGGACGTGATGTCGCCGTCGTCTACAAAGTTCACAGTCAAGAACTGTGCAAGTGAGTTCAAAACAAAACACAACCCCTCATGATGTCTTACGTAGCTTTGAGTCAGACTGCATTCCTAGCTGTCCTCGGCTGACTATGGTCTGTGATTCTTCATTCCCACCTGAAGGAAGTCTCTGCTGTCACCTTGTAGGAGAAGCCAAGATTCAGTCCCCGGGCCTGACTCCCTCAGTCCCACGCTGGTGCGGCTGGGTCTGTGTGCTCCATCTCACCCTTCCTGAGCGCTCTTCAGGTGCTGCCTCCTCCTTTTTCCTCAGCCCTGCCTGGACCCCTGGGCCTCTTCTCTTTGTCAGCAACACGCTTGTCTACCCAGAAGCCCCTTGACTCTGCCCTGCACCTCCCTTCTCCCCTTCCCCCTCCCATCGCCAGTGGGGATACCTCTAGGCAAATCAGGAGCATCTGCTGGGTATTCCCCCCACTGTGTCCTCACAGCACCCTCAGCTAGATGCTTCTCTCTTTGCCTTCTCCTCCCCTTCCTGGCCTCCTCTACATGGGTGGTGACCAGTCCCTTCCCCTTCGGTCTCCATCTATCAGGCTAAACCATCCTACTGTGTTCATGGCATGACCTCACGGACTATGCATTCACATGCTGCTATTCCTTTCCATTGGTCCATCTGCTCTCTCTCTCTCTCTCTCTCTCTCTCTCTCTCTCTCTCTCTCTCTCTCTCTCTCCTCTCTCTTTCTCTGTGTGTGTATGTGTTCCTCATTCCCCTCTCTCTGAGACATAGTCCAGGCTAGCCTTAAACTTGCAACATGGCTGATGACCTTGAACTTCTGATCCTCCTGCCTCTACCTCCCAAGAGCTGGCTTTACAAGTGTGCACCACCATGCCCAGTTTAGGAAGTGCTGGGGCTTGAACTCTAGTCTTCGCGCGAGCACACTAACAGGGCTGCATCCAGTTAAAAAGCAGGGCCTTCTCTTAGCACCTGCATTCTCCTAGGGCTCAGCAAACAAAGGGTGTTTGTGGAGATCTGGACAACCAACTGGCTGCCTGCAGTCAGTGCTCACCAACTCAGGCATCTATTGTTTGGGAGGTCAAAAGGTCAAAAGGGGTCTTAATAACTGAAGTCAGTCTGGAGACACAAGGAGAGAAGCCATTCTCTTGTCTTTTTCAGTGTCCAGAGGCTGCCTGCCTTTGTGGACTTGTGGCCCTTCCCTTCACGGTTAAAGTCGGCCATGGCAGGTGGAAGGAGACTCAGCTCCGGTCCCCGACTCTGGCTTCCCCTCTGCTGTCCTCTCTCCTTCGGGGGTCGTGTGGTTACACAGGACCCCCCCAGGCCATGCAGAACACGTCCCCTGCTTTAAGATTGGCTGATAGGCAACTTCATTTCCACCAGCTGCTTCACCTGCCATTTACCATGTGACCTTACGCAGTGACAGCTTCCAGGGACTAGGGTGTGGACACATTGGGTGGGGCCGGGGGACATCATTCTGTCTCTCATGGTGGCCGGCCTGTTTGTTGTACTTCAGTACTTGCTCCCAGAGGGGCAGGCTGCCATCATCCTGTCCAGCTGGGCTCTTCCTCCAATGTGCTCCTCCATTCTCTGTGTCCTCAAAGTCTTGTGGCCACCTAGTGTACAAGGCAAGCCAGGGGTCATTCTGATGTCATAGATGCAGAGGCTGAGGCCTCAGGAGCTCATGTGACTTGGCCAGAGTTACCTGGAAAGAAGAAGTCCCGCAAGAAATAAGGATGTCCTAGAAAGGAGGATAGCCCGGAGGCTATCCTCAGCCAGTTTACTTGATGGCAGGCCTCCAAGAGCTCCCTGTAGTAGATGGAAGGAAGACACATATAAAGTAACAGAAGTGGTCAAAACCAGAGAGATGGATGAGGCCAGGAGGAGACGAGGACAACACATATATCTGTTTAGTGGTCCTGCCTTCCAAGAGTGAGGGCAAATCCCCTCCAGTTGCCCAACAGCCCCAAGATGAATCAAAATATCCAGCATCATGGGATTAAGAGGACATACAGCAGCCCTGCATGGTGGCACACACCTTTAATCCCAGGCAGAGGCAGGTAGATATCGAGTTTGAGGCCAACCTGGTCCACAGAGCGAGGCCCAGGACAGCCAGTGCTGCACAGAGAAATGCTGTCTCAAAAGACAAACAAATAAATGAGTGCATACGACTCTTGGGGAAGACCCAAGTTTGGCTCTCAATACCTACATTGAGTGACTCAGAACTGCCTATACCTCCAGTTGTGGGAGGACCCAGCACACTCTTCTGGCCTCTGCCACTTACAGGCACACACACAATTTAAACAACAAAAAGACATCTTCCAAACAAAAAGGAAGAACCGGCCATGGTTGCAGCGTCTGCCTCGAGACCAAACAGCAGATCCTTTAACATTTCAGCCCACATCAGCCTAAGGAGCGAACTGTGTTCCGTAACCCATGTTTATATGACAGATTTCACTTAGCACTACCCATGCACTGAGTGGGCACTAGAGGACTGAGCCTGTTACCCAGGAAACTCATCATAAGCGCTGGCTGTGACAGCTGGGACATGCTCATCACTTCCTCTGTGAGGTTGTCCCTGATGCGCCCCCCACCCTGCTCTTGAATAGGATGGTGAGTCCACCCAGCACAGAGCGGCCCTTCTCATCATGATACTTGTTATCACCAACCAGGCCTTCAGGTAGACCGGAAGCCCTTCGAGCTCCAATACCGTGAATTTTACCCTGTAATCCCCATCCTTCACCACGATTGGGCACACAGCTGCTGCCCCACCCCTCGGTCCCTGAGGGGCTGAGGACAAAAGCCCTCTGCTGATCCTTGCAGCAAACCGATTCTGTCCTTGAAGACCCCTAGGGTTGGATTCCTATTTTATAATCATCTCATCGGCTCCTTCCCCCAGCAGGTGACTGGAAGAAACTCCTCAGATGTGTCAGCAGTACAAGGCAGGCTGGGAACAGGAAGATCCTATACATGGAGCATGTACAACGCAGGGAAGAGGTCAGGACTATGGAAACAAAGTCAGTTTTCTCTCCATCACCGTCTCTATCTCCAGTCAATAGGCCCCTTAGGCTGGGTGTGAAGGATTTGCTATCTTTTAAAGTAATAACGTGATTGAGAGCTAATTAACACGCTGTAAACTCCGTGGATTTAAAGTAAACAGTGCTGGCAGGATGGCTAGGGGAGAGGTCTCCAGGCCCGACAACTGGAGTTCAAGTCCCGGGACCCACTTAATGGGAAGAAAGAAATGACTCTAATCTCCAACATGCACACTGTGGCACCTGAGTGTGAGTGCACAGATACACACACACACACACACACACACACACACACACACACACACACACTTAGTAAATAAGTAAATGTTAAAAATCAATGGGTGCTGGGCGTGGTGGTGCACACCTTTAATCCCAGCACCTTTGAGGCAGAAACAGGTGGATCTCTGTGAGTCCGAGGCCAGCCTGGTCTACAGAGTGAGTCCCAGGACAGCCAGAGCTGTTACAGAGAGAAACCCTGTCTCAAAAAAACCAATAAATAAATAAGTGAATATTATAGGCAATTAGAATTGGCGTGTTGGCTCATGCCTATAATCCCAGCACTTGGGAGGCTGAGGCAGGAGGATAGCTGTAAGTGTGATATCAGCCTGTGCTACAGAGTAAGACCCTGTCTCAAAAGATGGGGGAGGGGAGCGCAATGAAACAATTCGTATTGTATCTGCAGATGTGTGCAGCCATCATCAGTCAATATCAGAGCATTTTCTTTAATCATCTCCAAAAGAAGAAGCCCGCCTCTATAGCCATCACCCCGCTTCTGTCCCCCCACCCACTCCGGGCAACCACTAATCTGCTTCCGTCTTTACAGATGTGCCTGCTCTGGACGTTCCATACAAATACAATCAAATGATAAGAGGTATTTAGGGCTGCCTTCTGGTTAGTGTAATGTTTACTGTAGTTATCTGCGTTCCACATGTATCAATATTTCATTCTCCTTTCTAAAGATTATCGCTGTGTGTGATAGAAGGGGCTGCGTGTGTGCCGTGGGGTGCGTGCGAAGGTCAGAGGGCAGCCTGGAGAGCCAGCTCTCTGCGGAGGTTACCGGGGTTATTCTACAAGCCTTTTACTTGCTGAGCCGTCTCCTGAGCCCCTGCTTTTCATTCCCTCTGTAGGTGGAGATCATTCCACTGCGTGAGTGTGCTGCCTTCTACTGCTCCATTCATTGGCCAGTGGACAGGAAGCTGCTATTTTCACTCAAGTGCTTTGATTGCCGTAGGGATCCCATAGCTAGGACGTGTGCTCACAGTTCCTGTGAAATGGTCCTGGGGATGGTAAATGAGTAAAGGATGAAATAAGAGTACCTGCTACGCACCCACCTTGGTGATAAAGTCGCCCATCATAGTGGTTGGCACAGGATGTCCCACTCTTAAGGGAAGAATGTGGTGTCTTTAGTCAGCTGGGCCTTCGGTACTGCAGAGGGAACAGAAGAGTAAGAGAAGACTAGGCGCCGGGCGGTGGTGGCGCACGCCTTTAATCCCAGCACTCGGGAGGCAGAGCCAGGCGGATCTCTGTGAGTTCGAGGCCAGCCTGGGCTACCAAGTGAGTTCCAGGAAAAGGCGCAAAGCTACACAGAGAAACCCTGTCTCGAAAAACCAAAAAAAAAAAAAAGAGAAGACTAGGCCTAACTCTGAGCCTTCCTTAGCCCATTCAGGCAAGCTGCTAGCCTCATAACCAACATTCAGCAACAGGGAACAGTTATTGAACCCTTCCTACGCGCCAACCCCTCTTCTAAGCATTTTACGTGCATAACTCATTAGGTCTTACCAATGGCTCTGTAACATAGTACTATCATAATAATTCCCGTTTTACAGATGGGAACCTGGGACACAAAGTTTGGTAACCACTGCATCCCATGTGGCTGGAACTTGACCTGCCCACGGGTATGGAGGGAGTGCAGAAAGGATAGACACATGCCCAGGAAAGCTGGGGACAGGTGGGCTGTGCAGACTCTGATGGAACGGTACCAACTACCGCTACAAACCTTAGAGAGCATCAGCATGCTTGTTATCAGGGTTGGGCGGGGTTGGGGGAGGGGTAGCTAGTCTCAGTAGGATGTGTTTGCAGAGTAGCGAGCCGTCTCCAGCTCAACTTCCAGGATGAGGGAGCTGCAGTTGTAGTTTTTGCTCACACTGATCACTCCTTCCTAAACACTCACATGGGGCCAGAAGTAAGCCTTGCCCAATCCGAGCCTGACCCAAATGGGAAAGGCTCCGCCAATTCCCTGTGAGTCAGAGGCCTTGATCCTTGACATGGCCAGCTCACGTCCAACAGTACACACTCACTCAGGACTCCACTGGCTCAGGACTTCCCTCGTTCCCTGTGGTTAACATGTAGGCCCTCAGAACAGGAAATGCGGGGGCTAGCATTTGGGCCCCATCAATCTGAAGCCTGGCCTGCACCCACCCAGAGCGTGGTCAGTGAACCCTGCCTGGAACACAAGACTCATTCCCCAGTCAAGTAGGGGCTCCGTGGCTGTTAGTCTGCTTCTTGCCATCCGGGAGAGGAGGAGGTGCGGCCACCAAACACCAGGACATGCGTTGCAAATTGTGTGGAAGCAAAGGCTGATGGGTATCAATAACCTCACTTACAAAACAGGAAAGCGAGGCTCAGTGAGGTGCTGTTTGGTCAGCTTTCCATTGCTGTGCTCACAAGCACCCAAGTGAAATCAACTTTAAAGTAGGAAAGCTTTGTTCAGGTGTGTGGCTTCGGAGGTTTCCAGGGCCAGCCGGTCTTGCTGCTTTGGGCCTGTGGTAGCATATTACATCATAAGGGGAGTGGACAGTGGAGGAGACTTGCTCACTTCGTGGCAGCTAGGATACAAAGGGAGAGGGGAGGTCAGGGTCGAGATATACCCTGCTAGGGTGTGTCCCCAGTGACTTAATGCCCTAACACGAGACCCAACTTCTCAAAGGTTTCACCCCCTCTCAAGAGCAGGATGGAAAACAAGCCTCGAACACATGGGTCTTGTAGACATTGAAGATGCAGCAGAGGCCCCTACCCTCCACGCATCCAATGCAACCAGAAGTCCGTGCCTGACTCAGGATCTATTGTTCTCATCTATTGTCCCTGTCCCTTTCTAAGCCTAAATAGTTTCTTTCCTTGGATTGTGCCACGGCTCACAGGTTTTTCAGAAAACGTATCTCCCAGATTACATTGCTAAACTCCAAGCACTGTCGTGGACATCCCTGTTTCCTCTGTTACCCACCAAGGTTACCGGGGCGTTCACCCAAACTCTAACCCTGCTTCTGTTCCTGCTGTTATACCTGCTGGTCCCCACCTAGAGGACTCCCCAGGGCTCCTGCCCTAGGCACCCGGACTGTGTCCCATAGTCACCCTGCTGGGGTCACTGGGCTGTAATACCAAGTCCCAGATGAAGTGGAAAGCCCAGAGAGACCCAAAGGAGGACTTACCCCTTGCCAATGCCTGGGGCTCCTTTGGTGGGTTGAGCATTTGACGTGGGTTTTCCCTCGAAGGGAGTTGCAGAGGCCAAGGAACTTCCATTTTTCAGGTCCTCAAATCCTACAAGTGGGTAGCTTGGAGATGTTTGGGACTTTTTTGGTCTGTGTGAAAGAAGTGTTTGTTCTCACGTGGCCGTTTCTATTCTTCTATCTCAAGTATTTGCTGTTGTTGCTCACCTCCACCTTCTATTTTCTTGTGGAACAGTCTGTTCACAGCTTGAAGGCATCACTTGTTCCCACAATGCATTTGACAGCATCTGGAGATGCTCAAGGGAGAATGGATGAATGAACCGCCGAGAGGGATGAGGGACACCACATGTAATTCATGTGGAACTTGTGGGGTTTCTTGTCCCCCTATTCACTTCAGTCAGGGAACCTTGTGGCACTGTTCCACCCCATCTGCAATCCACACTCAGTGTCTCCCCTGGAGCACCAGGGGTGGTCCACCTCCACGGATAAAGGCCAGCTCACAGCAGAGAAGACATGCAGAGTTCAGCCTTTGATCTCTGTCCTTCCCTGGTCTGTGTTTCCTCTGATTTGATCCAACCTTGTGACTTCCACTGCCATCCCTACCTGGGCACCCTCGTGTGCCTGGCTTTGTTTCCGCCTCCGGTCTCTGGACTCAGGTGTGTATTCAACTCTCTCTACCGTGTCTCAGCTAGGATGCCTGTGAGACATCTCAAACTTCCATGACCAAGAGAGTGCCATTCCCTCCCCACAGGCCCCAGCCACTGTTCCTTCCCCAACCCAGTCAGGTGTCCCATTGTCCATCCCAAAAGTCCAGACACCATTTTTGATTTTGCTGTGTCCTTCACACCTACACATGCTTCATCACTAATGCCAGCAGTTTTACCTTCAAACTCTCTTTTCTCCCCATCCCGCGGCTGCACATCTGGTCCACTCCACACCTCCTGCTAGCTAGATCAGGCCGGGCTAGCACCTGCCTTTGGTCCCGGTCCCGTTCTCATCCATCTTCTGCCTGCAGCCCCTTGATGTCACCACTCACCCAGAATGGAACACCAACTGCTTGTGATAATGTATCCGAGGGGGCCGGTCCCACGCTAACTCTGGCCTATCTATCCTTTACCTCCCCACCCAACTCCAGTCCCTGCCTCGTTTATCTCTGCTCTTCCTCATCCTGTTCCTGTTTGGGATTCTGCTCAGAACACCTCCCCTCCCTGTCTTTTCCCTGCCTGGGATTTAACCGCGATACTCCTTTCTCAGAGAGATCTCTCCACACCCTCATAGAAAGGATGACCTCCTTTGCCTCTGTCATATCCCGTAACAATCCCATACCACCTTGTGGCTGATCTGTGTGCATCTCCGTTGGTGCTTTCCCTCACAGGAATAGAAATTCTGGAAGGGCAACAATTCTGCCTTGTTCACTGTTACACTTAGAGCCTAGAACAGGGTCTGTGATGAGAGGAGATGGAGACACACCCTCCGGTGAAGGGGTAGGGTTTGTGGGGCCTGAGATCTGGGGAAAGCTGGCTCTCTAGAACCAAGGTGGTTCCCATACCATCGCTAACTCACTTAACAGAAAGTTTCTCTGCAGCGTGGGTTTCACTGTTCTCCTCTAGAAGAGGTAAAAATCAGACAAGGTCTCACTGCTCTAAGAACAGTGCTCATAGAGACAGGTAGGATAAATGGACCTGCCTCGTCTGGTCCAGTAACCTCTCCATCATCCTAGGATGGCAATGAGGGAACACTGGGATAGACAGAAGCATTAGGAACAAAGAGAACACCCAAGATGCTACCCTGATCCTTCCCAAGTGATGCTGAAGAGCTTTGAAAGGGATGGAAACTCCTCCTAGGAGATAGCCCTGTCCTAAGATCCTTTTCCTCTCTGGAGGACCAAAAAAGCTAGCATCTCATGCCTTTGAGGCTCTGGGTTCACTGTTCGAGTGAGCAAGGAACCTCCTTATTGGCTAAGAGCAAAAGATCCCTCACCCTCAGGCACAGACCTCTCATTGCTGGGCACAATCAGGCTTCTCAACATCCCTTGTTCCCCTACACTGTGGTCCAGAGACTGTTAGTCACTTCGATTTTGGAACAGCGAGGAGGGTGGAGAGCAGGGCAGAGCCAGAGAGGTAGCAGCCCTTCTGGACCATACACAAAGGCTCTACTGTGTGGATGGTCAGCAGCCTCCAAACTGTATTTACTCAGCATGGCAACATCGTCCAGGAAGTTCCACACAGTCTAGACATAAGCTCCTCAGTTCTCACTCAGAAACCCCCACAGACACGGAAAGAAAACACCACAGGTGATTTTTTTCCTGGCCTCGGCAGAGTCGGACACTCTTGCAACTGTGGTCTCAAAGGTAGCTGGCAGAGCCAGGCTGGCTTGGTGGCAGGAAGGGTGTAGTGAGCAAGATCCAGGCCCAGAAGGATGATGTGGAGGCTGGGCCTGCAGCCAGGTGTGGTCCACTGGGTGAGTGGAGGGTGTCAGGGGCTGTAGGAGCAGGGGTCCGGGTCCTACACTGGCAGACAGGCTGAATGAGAGAGACAAAGGAACGAGGCCTGGGTGAGCACATTCTACACTTCATGCCCCGTGCTAAGTACTTTAAGAACCAGGAAAAAAAGATATTTATCCAGGGAGCCTGAGGGTCTTGGGGATGCCTAGAAGGTAGAGATGCTGAAGTCATTCTTTGTTTTTGTGTTTTGTTTTGTTTTGTTTCAAGACAGGGTTGCCCTATGTAGCCTTGGCTGTCTTGGAACTCACTCTGTAGACCAGGCTGGCCTCAGACTCACAGAGATCCGCCTGTCTCTGCCTCCCCAGTGTTGGGATTAAAGGTGTGCACCACCACCGCCAGGCTGAGGTCTTTCTTAGAACCAAGAATACATAGGTTACGGATGGCGCTTAGTTGGTAGAGCGCTTGCCTAGCATGCACAAAACCCTGGGTTTGGTTCCCAGTGCCACATAAGACTGGGCATTGTGGTCGAGGTATGTAATCTCAACACTTAGAGAGAGGAAGCAAAGAGATCAAAAGTTCAAGATCGCCAGGCGTGGTGGCGCACGCCTTTAGTCCCAGCACTCAGGAGGCAGAGACAGGAGGATCTCTGTGAGTTCAAGGCCAGCTGGTCTACAAAAAGCAAGTTCCAAGACAGCCAGGGCTACACCAGAGAAACGCTGTCTCAAAAGCAAACAAACAAAAAAGCTGAAGATCATCCTCAGCTACACAGTGTGCTTAAGAGTAGCTTGATTTACAGAAGACCTGATGAGGATGGGGTACAGTACAGGAGACAGTGAGAGTGTGGCCTTACTAATAACCTCAGAGCCCAGTGGGGTCCCCAGCCTGGGATGGACTTGCACGTTGTTGCACCCACTGTTGGAGCTTTGTGGCTCGGAGCGTCATACAAGATGGCGGCCAAGCGTCACGTGGGCTGAGCCACCAGCCTGGAGACCACGCTGCCTCCTTCCACTGCCCCTGTGCAGCTCAGTGGCTGATGATCATTTTGGTGCTTACATAATAGCCCTTCACAGTTCTTCAAGCCCTCTCATGGGACATATTACTTAACTCGTGGCCCCCCGCTGGGTGTCAGGGTCAAGCTATTCCATGGCGAGTCCCATTTGGTTTCTCCGGTGTGCCCTTGGCTAACTGTGTGTCTCTGGGCTTCAGTGTGTACAGCAGTCACGTATCAGTATTCCGAAATTTAGGAAAGGAGGTGTTCTGGAGATGAGTGGGGCTGAGAAGCCTTGTCAGTTAAACAGAATTCATTAGCCTAGGGGACTTCAGGAAATAAACTCTGTACCAGAACTTTCCCTTTCACCCAACCTGTAAGCCCTAAGTGCTTCCAGAAGCCTCACCGTCCCCTGCTGCCGAGGCCCTTGGCAAACACAGTTTTGAGATGGGGAAGTTCCGGTGTTTTTGGACACACACACACACACACACACACACACACACACACACACACACACACACCCTGCCCCGTGGCTCTATTTTTAACTGGAATGTCTCTTCCTGCACCACCAGCCTTCAGCGCCTGAAAGCTGAGGTGGGGTGCGCCGTCAGCAGGCCTGGAGCAATAAATAGCAGTGGACAGAGGCCACGCTGGTGTGGAGCAGGAAGCTAGACAGATGGACAAACCAATCCACCCCTCATCTTTGCCAAGGGCAGCTCGAGTCACCACACTTTGTCCCTAAAGCCTTTCTGATGCTCCCGGACATTGAAGTACGGGTCTCTGACCACAACTGATATGGCCAGTGGGAGGATCAGACGTGGACCAGTCCTGAGCCCATCCAACAGCCTCTTCGGATGGGCTCCAGGCTTCCAGGGCTTTCCCAGAAACTTTCGGGAAATTGGGCATCTTGAATAGAGGTGAATCATTTGAAGTCCTCCTTGAAATCAGCGTTAGTGTTTAGACTGGAGTGGGGATGAGCGTAAGTACCTGACTTTGGTCCTAGAACAGCCTTTCACGTCAGGAGGTCTGAGGCTCTGCACAAATTTCCTTTCCAGTTATCTATGTCTACTCCCCTTGGTTGCCAGGAGGT